TGTATTCTTGTGTAATTACTGCTGATAAATGTGTGTAACATTGAAGTTATTCAAATTTGTAAATATTACGCTAATCGCAACGAAAATTTAAATATATAACTGGATCGTACTAGTATTTCCATTCTACATTGTTGGACATTTTAATGTTAAAAACCACCCAGTAATAGAGGTTAGTCAAACTGGTGTGACAAAACAGCGAACACACTGGGGAAGCGCGGAAACACGGTCGTACACTTGTGACTTTCTTCTGATACAACAAATTTTTTTAGCGATCAACAAATTTCAAACGTACCATAAGTTCCGTGTTTTTACACTTGTTTAAATCTGTGCGATGGCATCTCTTGCAAGCCGCGCGAGTTTTCTCTCGACCCCAGGAGCCTTTGCGACTTCCGAAGCAGGAGGGTGAATCACCCCTGCCGCAACCGCAGCTGCGCTTACTCCCGCGGGCGCGAGCGTCGCGGGCGGTTGGTTGCAGTCGCGGCCCCCGCGCGGCGAATCCCGGAGAGGGTCGTTAGTGAGGGCAGGGGCGAATCCTCCGAAATTCTTGTACGGCCGCCGCGCCGGCCGCCGCCGCCAGAACCTTCCAGGCCGGCCGGCGCTCCCCTCGACGCGGCGCCGGCGCGGGGGCGGGGCGGGCGCGACCCCTCGGCGCCCGAATTGTCTTGCGCGATAGAACGCCACGGGCGCGGCGCCGGCCGGCGGAGGTGCGGGGAGCTGCTATGTGGAAGGGCAGAACTGCGTTGGTTGGGGAAAGTTGACGGTAGGGCGAAGTGGGATGGTCGTTAGTGGAATGAGGCGGCCGGGGAAGGTAGATGTTTAGCTGTCTGTGAGACGCTGCGTTCTAGTCTGTAGTTGCCAACGTTCTCGCCCGTCGAACTGCGATCTTCCTCAGGGAAATATAGGAGAAAATTAATTGTTGCTAGTTCTACGGTGCGGACAGGGTCTGGAATAGTTGTGGTCCGGAGAGGTATTGAGAGAGAGAAGAGGGAGAGAGAGAGAGAGAGAGAGAGAGAGAGAGAGAAGAGAGAGAGAAGAGGAGAGAGAGAGAGAAAAGAGAGATAGAGCGAGAGAGAGGAAATAGAGCAGCGAGAGAGAGAAATAGAGCAGAGAGAGAGAAATAGAGCGGAGAGAGAAAATAAGAGCGAGAGAGGAAGAGGCGTTTGTTTATTTATAAAGGAGGTGGCAGGGCAGTGGGTTTGTCATAGGAGAAGTTGTGGGGAAGAGAAATAGAAAAATAATAGCGTATTGGCTGCGTAAGTGAAGAGGGGCGTGAAGTACAAGTAGATAAGATGGTGGTTGCTATTGCGACTCGTGTTGCTTGTGGAGGCAATGGCGGAAAAGGCAATTAAGATGGTGGCGGCTGCAGTAGTTGTGACGAACGCAGTGGCAACAATAGACTGTGACTAGGCTCGAGATAGCGGTATGTTTGTACGGAAAATCGGGAGAAAAGAAATGGCGTTAGGATTTGGAGGACGTGGAATGGTGGATGCAGCAGTAGGAGGATGCAGGTGAAAGGGGCGGCGAGGGTGTCCCGGAATGAGTGTTGGGGCGAGGTGGGCGTGACGGGAGGGAGTGCGGCGCCAGAGGGGCCCGCGCCGCTCGAAATGAACACGCGACGCTGAATGGCACATGCCGGAGCGGCGATCACTATGGAGTGCTTTGGGGCGCCCGGTGTTCTGAGTTGTGGCGGAGAGTGCGATTGGTTTACGAGTTCCCTTTTCTTCTTTATTTTGAGGAAAACGTAGGAGGGTGAAAAAATGGTTGTATTTTCGAGGATTCTATTCAATCGGAGAGGCTTTGTCTCCATTTCGTTTATCGCGGTAATTGGATGTACTGCCTACATGAAATGAAATTTTTCTTACACATGCTGCTCGTGTCAGAATTATTTTTTTACTAAACGTACCCGCATTTTGTTGCCTATAGTTCGTCCTTTTTCTCGCTTATTGAAATTTGAGAGAGTTCATTCAGACAACCTGTGTTGGCTATACAAAACTGGGCTTTCACAATGAATATTGTATTTTGGACGCCATTGATATAACACCGTTGCGCGCTGGTTCATTCTTGTAACATCTACTAAATCCACATACTACGGGAGTACTAGAGTTGAGGGAAGACTCGTTTATCATCATTATTTTTCAGGAATGATTGTTCTTTACCTTTCGTGCGTTTTTGTTGACTTACGAGTGATAGTCGTACAGCTAGCTGGGCAAGAGAATTCTCCTTTCAATTCGTGCGAACTGTCCTTCGGGTGATGACTGGCGAGGCGAAGGAACGGCCCAGTGGAAAGAGTTCTGAGGAGGAGCAGCGTGGCGAGGCCAGCGGTGTCTCGCCACCGCCCTCGTATTGTCCTGGGCAGCTTTTTCTCCAGGTCGCTTTCACAGCGACAGCGACAGTGGACTTTTCTCTGAGGGGATTCGAATCATCTCTTGCTTGTTACTGTCTATTGCAGTGCTCGCCTCCCACCCCACAAGGAGTTTTAGTCTACAAATACTGCTCTTTGCTTCAAAGACGACGGGTGCAGCCGTTGCCTCGTCCGATGGAAAATAGCTTTTGAAGTCTATTTCTGCAAACTAACATAATACTTTTGTGTTCTATCGGAAGCTTTTGTATTCTTTTGCTGTTTTCTCTTGGGGATTGCCACTAGGAAGGATTTCTTCAGAATATGTTTGAGAGGAAGTTGACGAGACCTGACGTTTAAACGTTGATGCGATATACTGAGTACAAAAGAGAATTATGATGGTAGAAAAAAGGAAAGTGAAAGTTTAGAATGAATGACAATAATTGTGAAATTGGAAATTAGCAATTGTTTTAAATAGTACTTCGTACGTTCATTCTTAATATGACTAATGTTTTTTTAGGACTATCTGTAGTGTAATGGCCAAGGCGCTAGGCCGCCAAGGCTCCATCTCTAGATAGGTAGGCCGAATTGATATGTGGGACGAAGGCAATCAAACATCGGTCAATCGCATTGGTTCTAACGTGTTATTTCCTCTTTGCTTGCGCAGGAGTTCGACCTGGAACAGAAGATCGACCTGGAGATCAAGATGCGCGAGGGTAGCACGAAGCTGCTGGCCGCGTGCCGCCACCAGGCGCAGACGCTGGAGGCCGCCAAGAACCTGCTCACCAGCAACGAGCGCATGTCCGCCTACATGGCCGAGCTGCAGCGCCGCAAGAAGGACCCGCCCGCCAGGCCCCTCGGGTGCGTGCACGACGCTTCACGTTGTACCTCGATTAAAGCATTCAGTCCGTTGATACGCGGTCAGCCGAAACCCGTCATCCAATCGGGAGCTTGAACGTCACTAAAGGGACGTCTCAATTTTGATGTCATAAAGTTTTAATAATAATAATAATAATAATAATAATAATAATAATAATAATAATAATAATAATAATAACAACAACAACATTTATTGAGTCGCATTTACAATTACAATTGTGTATGACGAGTCAATATGATGTCTTGGGGGAGAGAGCAACATTACATTACTACTACCAATACTGCATTACTAATCAAAGTATAGAGTGTGGTTACTTGCTCCTCTTTAACTTATGCATCCTCAGCATCCCACATGTAATCTTAGTCACCTTCAATAATTTCAATATAAACTTTCTGTAAAATTACCCCCCCGTCTGATTTGTTTGAAATAACCAACTTCACTGCCATCTTGGCTTTCAATTCCTGAAATGCTTAAATTGTACACCTTAATGATTAAAAATCAGAAATTTACATGTATTAAAATCAATTTTTAAATATATTATTAGATCTTTACTAACATTTCGGTTTTCAAATCTGGAGAGTTGCAGCCAAAACTACCTTTAATAAACTTCAAATAAAACAAAATAAATCTCTGTAGTACTTTAAATGCACCATTGTATATTCCCAATGAACAAATTCAAAATGAACTTTCCATAGTCCCTTTAAATAATGGATTAATAGACTTTCTTCACATTTTTATTCAATCTTATTGTCTTGTCGAACACAAAAATATTCCCTAATTGTCCTAAAATTGCATCCCTAAATAGGACTTTTGTTATATTAACCGGTGTAAATTCATGTAATTAGTTCCTAATGTCCAAGTTGTACTTGTTTTATAATTCATAAATTCTATTTTGTTTCAGAACCCAGCCATGTTTGGCTCGAGTATCACTGTCAGATCTTCGAATGCCATTGATTTGGAGGGATACAGATCACTTTAAAAACAAAGGAGATTATCGTCGATTTGCAGTTTTCTGTCTTGCCCGTATTGGAACTGAAATTTATGACACCACCCTGTTATGTCCTGTCGATAGGTCTCTGACTGACCTCACTTTTCCAGATATTCTATTCTTGTAAGTTAATATTCCACCTTAGCTACATTAGATTTTTAAATGTTACTTCCACTTATTTTCACATAAATGTGAATTTTTACTATATTTTACTAAAAATGTCTTTCATTTTGTTCTTTATTACAGTAATAATATTCCATCTGACTTCGAGTTTAAACTAGAAGTTTATAGTCATATTCTCCAGGATGATTTAAGTATTGCTAGTACTCCGAGGAAAATTAAGAAAACAATACACAGCTCAATTAGTCGTACTGTGGGTAAAAAATTGGCAGCTTCTCTCAAGGATGAACTCAACACAGGAAAAATGTGAGTTTTATTTTTTTGTTTCTTAAATGAATTTACCAATACCAAATCATTAGTCATTGGAACTGATTTATTTATTATTTTAAACCTTAATTTGCAGTGGACCACATTTTGAATTAATGGCGACAGCCAGATTGTCACTGGATGAAGTACATGATAGTATTCATACTCATGACTTACAAGTTGAAAACTTGGGTAAGTTCAAACAGTAGTGTTCATAACTGCCAATTGAAAGAATATTCTCTAAAATATATTTCTTGAAATGTTGTTGTATGGACAATTTTCTGTGAAATAGTTTGTTATCTTATTTATTTCTTAGTGTATGTGTATATGATTCACAGCACTAACATTTTTAATGACCTTTTTTGGCTGTTGAATTTACAGAGAACAGAAGTCATCAGTTACCCCTGTTTGGTCACTTCTGTTGTCGCCTGGCAGCTCAACCTGACTGTATCTCTCAGGAAGTTTGTTCTGGTGATATTTTGATATTAGATGGAGAAAATAGAGCAGGACAATGGAGTCCTGTGTGGGCACAGTTACAAGCCTTTCGTCTTGATGTGTGGAGCAAAAGAGAGGACTGGGAACAAGGACAAGATCCACTTCGCTCAATTACTGTGGACCGAGTACGTTATAAAAGTTTTCCTTTCTGAAATTTGCATGCGTGAGTGCCTGCATGTGTGTGCTATGCAATTTCTACTTAGTAGGGCTTCCAGGAATTGTTTTAATAAATGTTTATATTAATTCATAAATGTCTAAAAATGTTTTAATGTTGAAATTTTAAATTGCTAAGGTTACACATAATTTTCATATGCATTTTGATGATGAGTGGTTGATATTTTGACCAAATGTTAGGGGTTCTCTAGTTTGGTCAGGCATAGGGGGTCTGAAATATGTCTATGGCTCTGACAGTAATGCTAAATGTGCTAAAAAAATTCTTGATTTGGTTTTAGGAAACATTAGTATCTTCCAATGACCAGCATTTCAAAAAAAAAAAAAAAAAAAAAAAGAGGTAGAGTTAATTGGTCATTATCAAATGAGTCACTGAATTGGAATTTCCATGAATTACACTTTTTATTGTTTTTATGGTAAATAAAATCCTATGTAGTAAAGAAACTGGGTATTCTGCATGAGCCTGTATGTCTATCTTTTACTTCAGGTTAGACCACCATTTAGGGCAAATGAACATGTCATAGTCAATTGGTATCTAACAGACCAGTTTTAGAGGGGGAGCAGGTCCTTCCAGAACATTCTGATTGTCAAAGGAGGGGGGTGAATTCCCTAAAATGCATATTTTCAGTATATATAGCATTTATAAATTATATTTTTGGTCAAGAAACAACAACAATCACAACCACAACCACAACAACAACAAAGAATTTATAGCAATACTTTTCATGTAGTTTTCTATGTGTAAGGATGGACAAGCCAGGCAACAGTATTATTATACATTATTAAAAAGAAATGCACAACACAAATACAATTAATAAATAATAAAACACCAGCCAAAAGCACCATGCTTAACTAGTTATGTTATATAATTATTATTTTCATGTGTTAATAAGCATTTACATAACTAGTTTCGCATAGTGCTTCTGGCTGGTGTTTTATTTAAAAAAAATGTAGTTGTGTTATGCATTTAAAAAAAATGTTAATAATACTGTTGCCTGGCTTGTCCATCATTACACATAGAAAACTACAAGAAAAAGATTTTTGTAAAAATAAAAATTGTGAACTTTGAAATGAGATTCATCTAAATGATTGTTTTTTCAGAACACCCTAATTCAACCCAAGAAATCGAAGGAAATCACTATATCCAACTTGCGTGAAGGCAAAGAAGACCCTTCCATTATACGGTTAAAGACAACAGATGAACAGCAAAAGTGGATTCGTTGTCTTGTGCAGCATACTAAAGATCACTTCAGGTAATTGAGTGACAAAAAGTTGCTTTTGTTGGTTTCTTGGAGTTCTTCAAATTATTTTCAGAGATGTTGAAAATGATTGAAAATATTTGGTATTTATATTTTAGATTTCTCTATAAATTACTTAGAAATTATTTCTGCATTAATTTTTCTTTTGTTTTCCGTTTATTTATCAGTTACCAGATTCAATAGGAATGAAATTCATGTAAACTAATGCAAAAATGAATGAAAAGGAAACGGTCAGATAATGGAATCAAATTTGTATTATTGTTTTTGATGTAGTAATTCACTAACTTCTTCCCTTGTTGCAATGTTGAATCCTTGAAAACTAATAAAAATTATTCAAAATGTATGTCTTGTATTTAGATATTACCTTCCCAATGATAGTACATACATTGATATGTTTGTGAACATTATAATTTACTTGATACATTATTAGAAACATTTCTTTTTATTAATGACAACATATGTTCCAGTTATTGATAATCTGATACTATTATTTTTTTAATTGAAGGTGGAAGCATGCTGCTGAAAATGTGATGGAAATACAATCTCCTGGCTCAACTAGACATTCCTTCACCAGACAGTTAAGGCAAGGATCCTTATATGATGAAACCCCTTTAATTGGTAAGATTGATTATAATCCCATAAATGAGCAGTACTGCTCCAGTTTTCAGTAGTGCATGAGACCATTGGTGTTAGACTAGTTTATTTTTTTAAATTTTATTTATTAATTTTTTTTGTTTTTTTTGTTTTTTGTTGTTATTTTTAATTCATCAAAATTAAATTCATCTCTTTTCTTTTGCAGAATCTGTCAATTCGGACTACCATCGGCCAACAGTTCAAGAGATATTTGGTATGACTCCATCCACTAGCCTGAGTTCTTGTGCCTCATCATCATCATCCCCTACATTCCGTGAGAGGTCATTCAGCTCTGGAGGCGGAAACAAAGGACGAGTATCTGCCACTGGGACCGTTCGATCACACTGGCCGTTTACTCGCAATAATCAAGAGTAATGAGGACAGTTTTGCCTTTTCTCACTAAGTCATTTACCCTCAAAGCATCCTGTTCACCATTTGTTGTACCTATTTGTGAGTTGCTGCACTGAATATTCCTAGAAGTATTGCAGAAATATTAGTAAGAGAAATCCATTCCAAACAACAGCTTTCAATTCCTATTTATTTACTAAATCAATGCTCAAATGTTTTTGAAGAAATCTTTCAAAGAAATTGTAAAAGAATGTTTCAAACATTCTAAGCTATCTTTGACAGGTTACTAAAATGAATACTCTAAAGTGTTCATGTGCATTTGATATGAAACATCAATTGTTTAATGACAATGTAAAATTACATTGTGTAGTATTAAAAAATTCAAAATATACTCTCATTAGTTCAATAATTGATGTTGTGATGTAATTGGTAAATGTTAATAAGATAGTTTCCCCATGACTGATGTGTATAGATTTGCTTGCCAACAATTTGAAAATGATTCTCACCTTCCATCAGCATTGTGTATCTGATAAAATGCGGATCACATGTCCTTCCCTAAGTGATGTCCAAAATATCTGTGTATGTGTATCCTCTCAGAGAGAAAGAGAGCGAGAGAGAGAGAGAGAGAGATTTATAGTTCTTATTGCCCACTAGCATGCCACTCCTTCCCAAAGAAGACTATTGTGTTCATAATGTACATTATTTATTCAGGCAAAATGTTTGTGTATTGGTTTCATTTAAATATTTTCCATCTTGAAAGAGGAAGTTTGTTCCTTTGTGTTGAAGTGTAGATAGTTGTTTTACTTCCATTATTTGTAATTTTTATACATAACAGTGAAGATTTTTGTTCATAATAGATGTTACATTTCATGGAAATAAATATTAAATTATGTACTTCATATGTGTAGCAAACAAATACATAATTGTGATAAATCATTTATTGTTGTGACTTCTTATTGCTTTTTATTTGATGAAAAATGAATACTAAGATAATAACACCCAAGATGCATTCAACTTTCCTATAATCAAACCTGTGAACAAACCTGTGAATATAGTCTTAAAGTGTTGTGGTAATTACATGGGGATGATTGGCGTCCCCACTATTTTCTTTCTAATATTACCTACAATTATTGTCGGTTTGCAAAGCTAGCTACAGATTTTTAAGGTGATTTTATGGATTTCGACTTGGAACAATTTAATTGTAGATGCTCATAATTTAAAGTGCTAACTGATTAGTGAAGTTTATTTTATTAAATTGGAACTTTAATTTTATTTGAATTTAACTGAATGTTTTCTAGAGAGCAATAGGCATTTGGAAAAAGAGATTTAATTGCCTGTTGTGAGGTATGAGCTAAAAGTGAAAAACACAGCAACTTGAATTTGTGCACCTGCTATATTGCACAATACTCCATGGGCCAGCAATGACCTTGTTTGTGAAGATGAAATTCAAAATTATGGTAATGATGCCTGTGACTTATTGTTGATGATGAATGAGATTTGGAGAAGCAGAATTAGTGATTTACACACACAAATCATTGACAAAATTTTTTTGTAAAGAGAGCATTAGCCACAATAAATAAGTATTATTTTATTGTGGAAAACAAGTCCATACTTTCTTATATAAAATTATTGTGTGTAATTGTAAAAATACACACACACACACACAATGTTATGTAAATTTGTGATCTTGCGTGGTAGTCACAGGACACTCGAATGGTGAAGCGTTCAGCCATTGATACATGTGCTGATGACCAAACAAAATAAAAAAGGCTGAGAAATGGTGAGAAGCATGTAAAGAATTCACCAATATTAGTGGTGTATTCCGCTTCATATTGCTCTTTGTGCTGTATTCCTTTACATGGTGATGAGCACTCTGGTCATTGCTGTATTCATAGAATCTTGGCTACATCCGGCCATGCACACTGAAACCTGCCATTACTATGTATGAAATTGTGAGGGAAACAGTATTGTTGGTTGCATGTCCTGATTGAATGCTTTTGCTTAGCATATTAATGTTTTTAGATTTTTTTGTTCATCGTGCATTGTGAAGGGAAATGAAGATATATCCTAATTCAGGTCTCTTAGATTCTAAGAGCCTATATATGTTTTTAATATCATAGATCCAATAACATATCTGATATTACAGCTCATATTACTGAAATATCAGTTGTCCCACAGCCACCACAACTATTACATCTTAACAATTGCCTCAATACCAATTTTGAATGATGCTTACAAAATGACCTATACCACTCACTAACAGGAGACTTACCTATGTCCACAATTGTGTACATTTTTTAAAAATTAAAATCAGGATTTTTTTGAAGTTCATTGCACAAAATCTTGTTTAATGGTAAACATTTTTTAACATAATAAATTGTCAGTGATTCATTTTCCTCTTGCAAAGAATGCACTAGTAAGCTGAAATAATTATCAGCACCTCCTTTCATTTTAGGTAAGTCTAAAATAATTTGTGTTTGTTTTGGCAGTGTTGGTAAATTTTGTTTTCTCAAGAAAACACTGAAATTCTATGTTTTTCCATTCTTGGAAAATAGTTTACAGGAAAGAATACTGTACAAAAGGATGAAATTTCACCTTTTCTATTGCTTACTTGATTTCAAGTTCTGGTGTAATATTTCCATTTATGGCCAGAATTATATTTTTAGAACTTCTCCAAATTCAATGACTTGCAGAAATAACCGTATTGTGAAATTATCATTTGAGTGAACTACTTACTAAACCTGATGGATCTCTCACACCCTGATTTTGTTCTTCCTTCTCTCCAGGAGGCAGAGTAAGCTTACCTGTATAAATTTAACAAAACAAAGTTTTGCTATATTTCTAATTCTCATACTTAACAGACTATTATATTACATACTCTGCTTCAGCAGAGGAATACATTATGGTTTTGTTTACAACCATTTCATTCTCTCGTATAAAGAATAGTTTAGTTGATTTTTGATAATCAGGTCATAGATCTGAAGAATACTATAAAGAAATTACATTATTTAGGAAATTATAACAAATCTTACATTCATTTAAAGATATTTAGATAGATATCAAAGTCATGAAGTATCAGAATGCTCAGTAGTCAAGCATGCCTGTGAGAGCAAAATGAATGTCTTTTCGGGTCATATAATCCTGGAAAAAAATTACATTTCCTAAAAAATCTTACTTCTTAGAAATAAAATGAAAAACATATGGAATAACAAGTTCAGAAATATTAAGAATGTCTATTATGATAAACAATACAAAAAAGTATAGAATAAGTTAGAATTGAGGAATTCTCTAATGAATCAAATATATACTAAAATAAAATTATTTCAAAAACCAATTTAAAACATTGTGGAACGTAGTCAATAATGGAAAAACTCAACCCTATAATGCATACACCTACTTGAAATTTTGATCCTCAGTCATGATGTTTTGGATATTTGGAGGATCTTCAACAATCCCTTCCTCAACTCTTATGGATCACTCGGGTAATAGTAGGCCTTACTATTATTAACAACCTGTTTTCATCTCATAGATCTCTAAATTCTATGTTTCTTCATCACTCTCGTGCTTCTGATGTTAATGAAGTCATGAACTCTTTCAAAAATAGCTCTTTATGAGGTTTAAATGAAATATCATCTACTGTTCTTAAAAACTGTATGTCTGCTCTACTTAAAATTTTAGTTTGTTTAATGAATTTATCTCTATCTGCATTCATGTTATCAGACTCCCTAAACATTTGTTAGTTGAACAACCTTTAGCTAGAGAAAAGATATGCAGGGTGAAATGAATTACAGAACTAAAACATATGGACCCTCACCCCTATATTTAGCAATCCCTCTGGAAAAGTTTGTCATTGGAAGATTGAAAAATTTCCTTGAAACTATTATATCTATAATAATAATAATAATAATAATAATAATAATAATAATAATAATAATAATAGTAACAATAATATTAATAATATCACAATATGGCTTCAGGGCAGGTTCTTCCTCTACAACTGCTGTTATTGAATTCTTTCATGAAATGCTTGGGAATTTGGAAGCAAACACAAAAAAATGTAGATATATTTGTTGACCTCTCAGAGGCAAGACAGTGAATGTCATGAAATACTATAAAAAAACCTAGGCTTCTGAAATAAGGGGTGAAGTTAATGATCTCATAAGATTATACTGAACAGAATGTTGACAGTGCTGAAAAATTTTAATGCATTTTGAAAATTCTTTATTTGAAGTTAAATTTAATTTTGATACAGTTAATACAGAACTGCCAAAGGTATCAGTTCTTGGACTTTTGCTAGTTCAATTAATATTATTTCAAGCTCTACTGATTTTTCCAAACTTCAAGTAATTCCCTCAATATATTATACCAAATACGGGCCTCTCGTTGCCACACGTTTCTCATGATTTTAAATTATTTTCATACTTCCCTTACGTTCCTCACCTTTTTTGCAAAAAAATTACTTTTCTCATTTTTTAAAATTATTTATTTTCAAAAGTTGAATTGTTAGTCTAATTTTCAATATGTAATCAAGTATAAACATTTTTCAAAAACTAAGGTAGGAACATTGAGATAATTGATTGAAGGGGAAGAGGAGTAAAAAGTGGACTGTACCTTTGTGAGACTTGCACCAGCAAAGGGAAGTTATGAAAGGATTATTAAGTACTTGGTGTCTTTTAAGCATTGTATTACATGGTCAAGAAATCAACAGATAAATGCCATCTTAGGATTTGACAATTTAATACTACTTTAAAAGATTATTTGGATGAATATATTCACATTTCCCTTGTCAGTTATTCAGTAAACCATGTTTAGGATGATATTCAAGGCATTTGAAATTTGGAGATTGCTGAGTTGGAAGTAACTGAATGGCGATTTTTGGATTTGATCTAACAGAATTTGAAGTTTGCTGACCTTAAAAATGTGAAAACTAATAATTTTGACATATTATCTATGAAATGAATTCTAATTTTATTTATTCAGAATTCTACTATCACTTTCAGCAAATACATGGAATTAATGTTTATGTTGGCAAATTATTATGTTGTATGTATATAATATCAGTGCAACTTCATGTTGGGAGGAAACAAATTATAAATTCCATAGAGCCACAATTAATATTTATTTTATTTTGTTTATTCAGTCAAATGCTAAATTACACAACTTTCTTGACAGTGAAACTATGAACAAGAAATAAATTAAGTTGACACTTATTACAAGAAACACATAAAGTTACAATAGAGATAAAAATGTTAAATCAGACACATGAACACGATTGTAGATAATTATTTCTCTTGTCAGAATTGAAATATGAAGAGGTACATTACAAAACATATTGATAGACTAATAGTTCCACAAAAGAAGTGCTTTAGAAGCATCTCCAAACCTGGAGACAGTCTTGTAAAGATTACTACATTAAATATTAATTGCTGATAGTTGTAGCACTCTACAATTACCACTAGTATGAAAATCATGATGAAGGTTTGTGATTAATAAAGATTAATACAACTACCACGCTCGAGAACAAAGACGATCACAGGGTATAGATGAAAAAGTCCTTTACTATCAAAGAACTGTATTTTTTTAAATAATCATCTGGTTAACATACATTTTCAATAAACTCTGGTTAACAAAAAATCAGCTGATATAGGGGAGATCCAGCTGATCATTTTGGGGGGGCCATCATAGATTTTTGTTAAATAATAAAAATATTTGTTATTATACAGTATTTGTTCTTGTAGTATATATATGATACTATATAATATTATTGTTTAAATTATTACATAATTCTAACAAATATTTAAACCGATTTTGCCAAATATAGAAAGGTAACAAACAAAACCTGTAGGCCTTTCTGGGAGGCCATGACCCCCGTGGCCCTGATAGGAAATCCTTCAAAACATTTTTTAAGCTGCAACCATCTTATTGATGCATGGTCA